GAGTCGAAGCTCATCATACTCGAGACTCATCAGTGAGTTGTACTCGAGACTCATCAGTTGTACTCGAAAGATTAGCACTCTCCATTTGGAGTTTAAGTGTGTGTGTGTGTGTGTGTGTGTTTGGTCCGGGGCCCGGCCAACATGTCGTCTTCTGGCCGACTTTTTTGGTGACAGCGCCAGGAAGAACGACAGACCTGCGATGGGCTGTTCGGGCCCGCAACTCGCAAGCGAAAGCCACCCGAAAATCTGCACTGGACATGTGGCCCTGACGCAGTCTGCTTGCTCAATAGGTCTGGGCGCAACGGTCTGAGGAACTTTCACTTCCCAGACAAGGCGGACCTCGAAAGGCCAGGCCTGTCAGGTCCTTTTTTGTTTTTTGTTTTTTTTTGGGGGGGGTATTAGGCCCGAGCCTTGGGTCAGTTTGAGGGGCAACGAAAGGCCCCCCTTGGACCCTGATACCCTTTACACCTTCCTCGCAAAGCGAGGAATACAAACGAGTGGCCCTTGTTTTGAACAGCAGCGGCGCGGTCAGTGGCAGACGGCTTTGGCAGCTCTTTCTGGAGATGCTGCTTCCAGTTGAGTGAAGATCGGACATAGTGGTGGTTTACGGGCGTGTCATAATATAGGACCCTTCAAATGGTGGTTTTCCCTTTTGTTTGCCTCAAAACCCATGCCAACAAGGGTACCAGTAAGAAGGCGCAAGAGCACTGAGTCAACAGTAAGCAACATTTTGCACAACTGCCTTCTAGGATGTTGATAAAACGGGGACATCATTTCACAACGTTTTGCCAGTCTGTGCTTGGTTGCTACGTAGGGAAGGGGCCCCAAAGGGGACATCCAGAACCATCGCACACTGGAAAAAACAAACCTGAGAATGGATTCACGTCCAGGTTTTGGAGTCTCAAAACGTGGGGAGGCGTTCATCATGTATGTCCAAACCCCAAAAAGTCGGCTTGAGCATTTAGAAGAACATGCAAAAAACATGCAGTCATAGCACAAAATTGATAATAAGCATTATAATAATAGTAAAACCAGCATTTGAAGAAAAAGACCTTGCTCGAGGCGTCGCGCCGGTTTGTCGGGTTCGAGGCGCCTGGGGAGCTGCAAGGCGGACGCGGCGCGGCTGGTGGAGAAGGCGGCGGCGGGCTCAGAGGGTTCTGGGTGGGCGGAGCCAACGGGACATCAGAACAACTTGGATTTGACAAACTTACCTTCTAGATCGGACAGGACCATTTTTTAGCCATTGTAAGAACCTGCTTAGGTGGCCTCCGAATCCCCAAGTCCGACCCGATGTCAGGGCCGGCATGTTAACCCATGGGTCAATACATCACAGGGTGGCGTCCCATAGACGCAAGACATTCGATGAAACAAATCCCCCATGTTCATCTCTTCCTTGCCTACAGAATGGGAGTTGGGCATAGTGCCCCTTTTTGGTTTCGAAAGGGGTACCCTAAAGCAACAAAGGAGGCAGTTGTGCCATCTTTCATCCGTTGGAACGCGGAGCCTTGTGGAAGGGGTGTTTTCCGGAAGGCTGGCGGTTGGAAGCAAGTTGCCAGTTCACAAGGGGCTGAGATGTTGGGTGAAGTTTGCCTTGACGCTGCTTCTTTTCTTCTCTCGATGATTGCAATTCCTACAGTATTCAAAGGAAATCCAGAGAAACCCTTAGACGAACCCAATTGGAAACCCGAAGGTGCAAAAGAAGCCAAAGGGCCAAAAGGAAACCAGAAGGAAGTCAGATCGACGCCAAGAGGACATCAACCATTCTATCAGAAACACGTTTCGGTTGCAAACAAGAACGGGTTCTCATGCGTGTTTCGATCCTGGCAAGTGTGCTTTCGCTTTCGGTCGCCCAGACCGGCGAAAACTGGGACAAGTTGATCCCGATCATGGCCGCGGGACTCGGTGGGACCTTGGGTTGTGTTGGCGACTCTGCATTTTCCCACTTTGGATTTAGTCCAAAGGCGGGTGGACTCTGTTTTAAAAAACGCATAGAGGAGCCTCCAAAAGTGGGCATACCTCATTTTTGGGACATGGCTGGCTGGACACCAACTACCCGGGCTCGCCATGAGCCATGTAGAGCTTCTGAAAGAGCCAGTGGATTTTGTTTTTGACGATCCTTCAATTGTGTTTCATTTCCTAAGTTGATGATCCTTCAGGTTTTTGGCTTGCTTCATATCATCAGTTGGTTCACTGTTTGGTGGTCTTTCAGTTTCCCAGGCTGTGATTGTGAGGGGGGGCAGTCATGATTGGCGAACAAGTTGATTGTTGCAAAGTTTGGCAGCTCTGTAGTTTGTTGTGGCGCCCCGGCATCGCATACGTCAGCCGTGTACTTTGACTGTAATGACTACAAGAATCTCGTGACGGGCAAGCAGGGAAGCCACGCTTTTTTTTGAGCAGGGTGCCTTCCCAGGAGGGTTGATTATTGCCCCTTAGAACTGGCAGCGCTCCTGGAATTTGATGCGAGTTTTCCTTTTTCCTTGGGGAAGACCAGACGGGATGCATGGGTCAAGATTCCGAGACACCCTGGGTTTCTGGAGGAACCGGGTGACAGAGACCCATCCATTCTGCGCAAAAAGAGCAGGTGCCCTGAAGACACAACGTAGCCGTTTGCTCAGGCTCCCTGAAAGGATGCCAGCTGCCAGTCAAGAATCACCCATCCAAATCCATGTGGTTTCGAATATATCCTTCTGCCCGAACCCTGCTGGCTTAGGAGAAGACCTTGGTGAAGCTCACCGGGCAGGAGAGAACTCTTCACCGGCTTGCCAGACTGGCAGCCCTGCTCTAAACTGGGGGCGAAATCTTCGAAGCGTAATTTGTACCTGGCTGAAAGGGACTCCAAAGCCCGCGAGTTCACAGAAGCAAGGTAGCCAAAAAGGGAAATGAACCGGAAGGGGGTCCCCACATGGGCGAGGTGGGCCGAAGCGCCCTTGTCTTTGGCTCGTGTTTTGCTTGCCTGGCTGGGTGGTCAATCGAATCACTTCAGGTTACCTTGGCGAGGATTAGGGGTTTTGGAATGGGTCATGAAATCACTCACTGTTTGCCACGGCGTGTGTGTGTGCAAATGGGAAGCAGCGAGGTCAGCCAGAGCGTGACGACTTGAGCCCGACAACACGCCTCAGGACGGAGAGCCCTCCGCGAGCAAGGAGAAGGAGCCCTCAGCCAGGTGTGCGGCGCGCGACGGGTGGCCGGCATGTGTGGGGGGGGGGAGCCTTGAGGTTTCGCAGGAACCAACATGAAAAGAGCAAGTACCACATCCGAAAACGTGTAATAAAACAACTATAACACTCTAATCAATGGGTCTGATGCCTTGCGCCACAGGACAATCATGCGTGTAGCATACGGAAGGAACCCATTTTGTCTTTGACTTTCGCGAGTGCGGGTGCGTGCGTGGGCGTACGTGCGTGCGAGCGTGCGTGCGGGTATGGGTGTGCGTTTGGGTGTGGGTGTGGGTGTGGGTTTGGGTGTGCAGCCGTGAAGGCTTCCGGGCGTGGGCGCGTGCGTGTGCGTGTGCGTGTGCGTGTGCGTGTGCGTGTGCGCGTGCGCGTGCGCGTGCGCGTGCGCGTACGCGTGCGCGGCGTCGCGGCGGCGGCGGCGGGCGGGCGGGCGGGCGGGCGTGCGTGCGTGCGTGTGTGCTTGCGTGCGTGCGTGCGTGCGTGCGTGCGTGTGTGGGTGTGTGCGTGTGTGGGTGTGTGTGTGTGTGTGCGTGTGTGGGTGTGTGGGTGTGTGGGTGTGGGTGTGGGTGTGGGTGTCTGTGTGTGGAGCCAGACCAGGCTGCACAATGCAAAGCCAAGTGCATGGCTGTGTATCAAGCTAGCATTGAGCCATGTGCGTGGGTGCGTGCGTGGGTGCGTGGGTGCGTGGGTGCGTGGGTGGGTTCGTGCGAGCGTGGGTGCCGTTGGGTTGTTTTGAAGGGAAACAAAAGCGAACACCGATGCCATGTTTCAATTTTCCTATTTTGACACGTGCCGATTGGTGATCGAACCCATTTGGGTCACCGCAGGCAGCTCTTCAAGGAGGAGGAGAGTGACGCCGAGGAGGGCCTTGATTGCACGAAGCTGAGGGAATGGCCGCACGACTATGGTCCTTCCAAACTACTCAGTTGCCAAAGGGTGGTCGACTTTTGATTTGTGGGTCAAGTTGGGCAAGCGAGACTATGGACCCCTTCTTGGACCTCACAAGGGCAAACTGCAGAGATTCCTTGCCTGTCTGGTGCCTTCTCAACTGGGCCATGGAGATGGTCAAAAGTATGGCCACAGACCCTGGTGCCGCCTCTTGCCACCTTTCAAAGGGAATTTTGAAGTCGTTCGGTGGATTCCACTCGCTGGGTCCCCCTTTTTATTGTCTTCCCCGCCAGTGAATTGCATCAACCAGCCAGAAAGGGCATGGTTCCCGATGATGGGAGGGGCAGTCTGAATCCCCCGCAGGAGGAACAAGAAGAGCAGGGCGGCTGCAGCTGCTGTTGCAGGCCATCCTGCGATCCATGTGGACTGCCACTCCTTCAGATCTCATTTTGCTTTGGGCCCACAAACCGCCATGCGATCAACATACCAGAGGGTGAATTGACATGCCCACGCCTGCCTCGTACTTGGCTCTGGTGAGAGGCTGTGGCTACCTTTGCTGGTTGAACGACCCTACCGCGTTTCATGCTTGAAGGGCCGAGTGCCTGAAAGAGCCCAAGCACAAAATGAGTCTTCCAAAAAGAAGACTGAATGGAGATGGGTCACTTTCCATCTTTCCATTTTCTCTGTTCCTCTAAGCGCTGCAAACCAACCTTCGGATCTATGTTTCTGCCTTTCTTCCCCGGGTGGCGAGAAAAAACAAGAAAACAAGAAACAAGAAGAGCCAACTTTCCCCCGTGGCACCGAGTCGACGACGGACTCGGAAAATCGGAGGCTGCTGGGCTTCTTGACGCTGGGGCTGGCGGGGCTGATCTGCGCCGCGTGGGCGCTGGAGTTCTCCAGCCGGGGGCCTCGGCGAATGGGGGGTGGGGGGATGGGTGGCGAGTGGGTGGGGAGGGGAGGGGCTGGGGTTCTGCCGTTGAAAAAGGGGGGGGGGGGGGGAAGGGAATCGCAAAGGGTAGCCTTGCTGGGGCCTCAAAGGGAGCCAAAAAGCAAACCTCTCTTTATTTAGAAAGGGTGCACCATTTTGGGACAACCGGGTTGCAAAGCAGTTGCGCCTTGAGACACAATAGGACCTGGATTCCACACGGCCTGCAAGGAAACCAGGTTGCTATAGGGGCGAGCCACGAGATGCCCCGGCCAAAAAACAACTCCCCCCCAAAAAAATAAAAGTGAGTTGGATCTCCCCAAAAGCAGACACCCCCAAGATTGTTTTATGAATGCTGGGTTTCCATTGGGTATCAGCTCTGAAGTGCGTTCGGTTGAACCCAAACTGGTTGCATTTTGGTTCTGGTTGGTTTGTTGCCAGTGGAATCGTTTTCCCAAAAGGACACCTGTAGAGTTGTGAGGTTTTTTTTCCTGATGAGTTTGATGGAGTTGGCCCCCCCATGAACTCAATTGGAAACTGACACAATTGACTTCTTCCGCAACCCTGTCTCAAATTGCCCTGTCTCTCCAAAATGAAGCTACTCCTCACCCCCCCGCAAGGCATACACACCAGCTACCGGTTTCTGCCGGTTGTAGGATATCACCATAAAGCCACCTGAGGGTAGTGGAGCCATGTGGGTCGTGGAAACCCATCTTGTCCCTCGGCAAAGAATTCACATCGCCAGGTCGGGCCGGGCTGCTACCCACAGCTGCGCCTGAAGGGAAGCCGTAGAGCCAGTGAAGCCGTCAAGGGCCAGTCGCAAGGTGCCGCAAAAACCGCCATTTCGATTCTCTGATTCTTTCTCTGGTTTTGGGAGAGGCTCGGAAATGGTTTTCCCTGTGGTTCCTGAGGGTCCATGTTTCGGGAGGCTCGGAAAAGGGTTTAGACTGACTGCATGCATAAGCATGCGTAAACACATGGCGCAAACACGCGTACATGCGCACATGCAAACACGTGAATCTGTACGTAGGCATTTGCATTTCGCAAGCTGATGCATGTACTGGGATAAGCGGCCAAGCAGAAGTCATTGTCCTCAAGAAAGGGCTTGCGGCTCATCAAAAAGTAAGCCATGACCGAGTGTGCAGAGGGGAGTTGGCTCTTTTGTGACTGTTTTCTCACTCTTTCAGTTTCCGGAAGTCACTTTTTGCGAAGGTAAATCTAGTGGGCAACAACAAGTGGATTGGGCCGAAGCAGTCTTGGCATAAGGCTTTATAGGTTTTCGGGAAGCCAGGATGCAAAGCGGACCACGAAACCACCCTCATGTTTCCCAGTTGTGGACGGATTTCGTTTCTCTAGAGCCACTGCAGGAAGTTTGAGCCACTATTTTTGCTTTTGGTACACAAGCCATCTCTGCCGCGCGGCTCTTTTAGTAAACGGGCTTTATTTCCTCGGCTCAATGCAAACCTGAGCTAGTTGATTTCGATGAGTGTCGCCCATCTTGCTTGGGAGTCAGCCAGGTTGATTGATAAACCCATGTTTGCTTATGTAAGATGGCTTGAATCGTATGGGGGGCATGCGGCGCTGACTTTACCCGGTGCTACCTGGCAAATTCGAGAGTCCGAGGTGAAGAGTTCGGGTTGGGTATGTTCCCTTTCTTGGTTGGCCTGCATAATTCAAAAACCAAAGGAAGCACTGGGGAAGTGTGCCAAGCACAAGGCCACAGACCGTTCAGGTAGAAAGCGGCAGATTTGCCCCGTGGGCAGTTTGGGGCAAGGGGAAACGCCCTGAGCGCAGCGGAGAAAGGCAACGGCCTGTGGGCGGGCCCGGGCTCAACAAGAACAAGCAAGCCAAAAGACAAGTGAGAATACCAAGTTGTCTCCGACCTACTATGAGATGGAAGTGTGTGGTTAGGAGCCAGTCTTTCCCATATCGCCTAAGAAGAGGCAAGCTGACCTACCAAGGACCTACTGCGGCCATTTGAAAGGCCCCTTTTGAATCCTTTTGACGGCGTCACTTCGCCCAAAATTCCCCCATTGTTGCAATTTTGCAGGAGCACGTTGTCTGCCTATGTCGGGACATGTGTCTCTGCCTCGACGGGCGTGGCAAAGAACGTGAAAGTGAAAGGTGGTTCTGCTTGGTCCAATTGGGAAGTCAATTTGCGCTGCGCACTTGGCAAGTTGGAGGACATGCTGCGAGAGAAGCCGGAGGTGGGCCATGAAGCGTCGGGATGGCGGGTGGTGGTGACCGAGGCCGGTAAGCATCACTTCCATTTGCCTAAGAATTGTTTTGAAAGGGAACTGCCACTACTTGAAATACTTGTTTCAAGGGAACTTAACAGATGAAGGCACAAAGAGGTTGTTTGAACAATAGGCTGTTCAAGTTGAAACGGAGCCTGGTTTCTGGGCTACCCGAAACGCGATCATTAGAGGAGCTTCTTTTCGGGAAAGGAAGCCCTTCTCCGGTGCCTTCTAAACCAAACAACACATGTTTGGCGCACCCAGATTGCAGGCCAAG